GATTAGAGATATGACTTGAAGGTTTTATTGCATTGTGATCTGCGTAGTATAGCAAGATAAAACTCTCAAATCATATCTCTACTTGGCAATAAATTTTATACAAAGTATGATAGTAAAGAAACGAAGAGGAGAAAGACTTTTGTGCGAGGGTGTAATTTCGGAGAGCATGTATGAGACATTCAACAAAAACCATCTTTTTAAAGTGAACCATCTAGGGGTGGGTGCGGATGTGAATATTATATTCATCTCACACCTATACATACCTATCCACACTCTCATCTCCTTACAGAATAATGATAACATCAAGGTCGAAACGAAATACTTTTTTTATTTTCTCAGTACAATTAAAGAATAAACAAAAAGAATATTCTCGTATTTTGTTTTCTTGTTTCAAAACATTAACAATTTGCAAATATGTTTAAAGAATAAAAATTATTTGAATAAAATATAATTAAATAATGAATTAACGAGACAAACAAGTTTACTAATCATTTTCTTTTTACAGAAAAATGCTACAATGAAACTTTCAAAATGCGTCATCAAGTTGCTTTTTAACATTAACGCTTACGGAAGAATGTTGGTTATATATATTAATGAATAATTCGAACAGCAATAGGTCTTATTAGTTTAATTTAATACTTTCTATTTAAGTGATGAAATATACTATCAAAACATGATTGCAACATTCAAAACTTCTATTTTTGTAAGTTTCATTGTCCAAGGTCAAAATAAATAAACTTTTACGGCTTGTCCGCAGGTAACGCACTTACGTTTTTGACAATTTGTCACTTAATTTTCTTCATAATAGTTAAGCACTGACGGTTGAAAACTTGATAACATGTGTAGGTCACAGAGTACTTGAAGTTGTGTGAGAGTCAGAGAAATAGGCTTTATTGTTTATTTTTTACAATAAAAATACACGTCGAAAACGCACTCACAAAAAAGGCCCTTGTTGATTTGGGCATCAAGAGAAAATCTTAGATTCTTGCGAACGTTAACATCAAGAACATACCGAACCTAGTGTAGCTTAAAGAGGTTAGTTGAAGATCTTCATTGAAAAAAAAAGTTCTAATACTTGTTGTGTTTCACAGAAATTATAGGTTATATATCATACCCATGTAAAAAAAAAACGTCAAAAATCTGATTTTCATCGATTTTTCGATGATGAAAAATCGATTTAAATGGCACGATTTACACCCGATTTACATCCGATTTTTCATCAACAAAAAATCAATTAAAATCTGTTTTTCTTAAAAAATCAATGGAAACCGATTTTCATGATTTTTTCCAATAAAATCGATTTTAATTGATTTTTCGCCGATGAAAAATCGGATGAAAATCGGATGAAAATCGTGCCATTTAAATCGATTTTTCATCATTGAAAAATCAATGATAATCATATATTTCATAACAAAAGATTTTAACAGATTTTTCTCAAATTTAACATCTATTAAAAATCATGACTTTTACATCGATTTTAATCGATTTGACCTTGAAAAATCGTCGTTAATAGTTTTTTAACTATTACGATCTTTTCGTTCATCGGATTCATTAGGAAACCTTTTCAAAGCCAGTTCACAATGTTCTACCAAGTGCCACACTCTAAGACCAAAGGGCCTTGACGATAACAAAAAGAACCTAAACGTGGCCTTAAATTTCGATTCATTTTTTGTTCTGTTGCACGCTTCCATATTTGGCTACTTTGCAACGTACTGTGAAAACCTTCCATATTGCCAGTAGACCTTCACCACTATCACAAAATGCGATCAGTTCATCCCGTGGAGATACGTATTGCTTCGTTGCAAGTAGGTCTATTTTCAACCTACATCACCATGTAAATAGTCTAAAATAGAAAATAAATTACAAATATTTCAATATCTATGGACTTACGCGATGCGCCCTTGGAAACTTGTAAAATGAAATAAAATGAGAAAAAGATGGGTACATATAAGGTCATACCTGCCGGATTATTCAAATTCAGACGTTTCTGAATCCAAATCGACACATACGAAGAAGTGATCAAAACCTGAAATATGAAACTGAATGAGAAAAACTTAGATATATATATGTTCATACCTGACGGACTATTCAGATGAAGACGTTCATGAATGTAAATAGTTACATATTACCAAGTGATCAATCGTCTAAAATGAAACTAAATGAGAAAAACATGAACACATAGAGTCATACCTGACAGCCTATCGGAATCTGGACGTCCATGAACGTAAATAACAACATACGAAGAAGTGATCAATCGTCTAAAATGAAAAGAAATGTGAAAAACATGGGTATATATATGATCATACCTGACGGACTATTCAAATTCAGACGTTTCTGAATCCAGACAGCCACATACGACGAAGTGATCAAAACTTGTAAAATGAAACTAAATGAAAAAAAACATGGGTATATATAGGGTCATATTAGACGGACTATTCAAAAGCAGACGTCCGTGGATGTCGATAGTCAAATCGGACGGTTAAGGACATTACACCATTATGTAACTCATAAACTGCTCAGAACCAATTAATTAGCAATCCTCACTCTGGTACTCAACAAACTAAGACAAAACTAATTAGGGCAAAACTAATTAGGAAAAAACTAATTAAGAAAAAACTAACTAAAGACTAACAAATTAAGAAAAAACTAATTAGGACTAACTAATTAAGAAAAAAACCAATTAAGGGTTCACTAATTAAGAAAAAACAAATTAAGAAAAAACTAATTAGAACTAACTAAATAAAGATTAACTAATTAAGAAAAAACTGATTAAGGACTAACAAATTAAGAAAAAACTAATTAAGGGTTAACTAATTAAGAAAAAACTAATTAGAACTAACCAAATAAAGATTAACTAATTAAGAAAAAACTAATTAGAACTAACTAATTAAGACTAACTAATTAAGAAAAACCTAATTAAGGGTTAACTAATTAAGAAAAAACTAATTAGAACTAACTAATTAAAGACTAACTAATTAAGAAAAAACTAACTAAAGACTAACTAATTAAGACTAACTAATTAAGACTAACTAATTAAGAAAAAACTAATTAAGGGCTAACTACTTAAGGACTAACTAATTAAGAAAAAACTAATTAAGGGCCACCTAATTAAGGGTTCACGAACTAAGGGCCAACTAATTAAGAAAACACTAATTAAGGGTCAACTAATTAGGACAAAAAATCTATTTATTTCAAAAATTAATCGATGAAAATCCGTTTCATAAGAAAAATCTATTGAAATAGATTTATTTTATAGTTTAATCGATGAAAATCTGTTTCATAAGAAAAATCTATTGAAATAGATTTATTTTAAAAACTAATCGATGAAAATCCATTTCATAAGGAAAATCTATGAAAATTTATTTATTTTATAATTTAATCGATGAAAATCTGTTTCATAAGAAAAA